TCACGACGCGATACGCACGCGGTGGGGCGGCGGTGGTCGCGGTTTCAGCTCTCATCGGATTCACTGTCGCCAACTCATTGAATGTCACCGCAGCGTGAACCACGTGCAATGCGGTGGGGGTTGGGTGTGGTGAGGGAATGAAATGACCGCAATAGAGGGGTTTGCGTAGGGATCACGAAAGGGTGATGGGGAGTGATGGTGAAGGAGCGGAGGGGCGAGGGGGAGGGAAGAGGAAGGGAATGGGCGATGGAAAAGAGGTGAGGAGGGAGGACTGCTTCATGTACAGGGGCAGTGTTGAGTCTATGGGCAGTGTTGAGTCTATGGGCAGTGTTGAGTCTATGGGCAGTGTTAGTCTATGGGCAGTGTTAGTCTATGGGCAGTGTTGAGTCTATGGGCAGTGTTGAGTCTATGGGCAGTATTGAGTCTCGGGCAGTGTTAGTCTATAGGCAGTGTTAGTCTATGGGTAGTGTTAGTCTGGGGCAGTGTTGAGTCTATGGGCAGTGTTAGTCTATGGGCAGTGTTGAGTCTATGGGCGGTGTTGAGTCTATGGGCAGTGTTGAGTCTATGGGCGGTGTGAGTCTATGGGGGGTTGAGTCTATGGGCAGTGTTGAGTCTATGGGCAGTGTTGAGTCTATGGGCAGTGTTAGTCTATGGGCAGTGTTAGTCTATGGGCAGTGTTAGTCTATGGGCAGTGTTGAGTCTATGGGCAGTGTTGAGTCTATGGGCAGTGTTGAGTCTATGGGCAGTGCTGAGTCTATGGGCAGTGTTGAGTCTATGGGCAGTGTTGAGTCTATGGGCAGTGTTGAGTCTATGGGCAGTGTTAGTCTATGGGCAGTGTTGAGTCTATGGGCAGTGTTAGTCTATGGGCAGTGTTAGTCTATGGGCAGTGTTGAGTCTATGGGCAGTGTTGAGTCTATGGGCAGTGTTGAGTCTATGGGCAGTGTTAGTCTATGGGCAGTGTTAGTCTATGGGCAGTGTTAGTCTATGGGCAGTGTTGAGTCTATGGGCAGTGTTGAGTCTATGGGCAGGTTGAGTCTATGGGCAGTGCTGAGTCTATGGGCAGTGTTGAGTCTGGGCAGTGTGAGTCTATGGGCAGTGTTGAGTCTATGGCAGTGTTGAGTCTATGGGTGGTGTTGAGTCTATGGGCGGTGTGTTGAGTCTAGGGCGGTGTTGAGTCTATGGGCAGTGTTGAGTCTATGGCAGTGTTGAGTCTATGGGGAGTGCTGAGTCTATGGGCAGTGTTGAGTCTATGGGCAGTGTTGAGTCTATGGGCAGTGGTTAGTATGGGCAGTGTTGAGTCTATGGGGAGTGCTGATTCTATGGACAGTGTTGAGTCTATGGGCGGTGCTGAGTCAATGGGCAGTGTTAAGTCTATGGGCAGTGTTGAGTATACGGGCAGTGCTGAGTCTATGGGCAGTGTTGAGTCTATGGTGCAGTGTTGAGTCTATGGGCAGTATTGAGTATATGGGGGTGTGAGTAGGGGTGCTGAGTCTATGGGGAGTGTTGAGTCTATGGGCGGTGTTGAGTCTATGGGCGGTGCTGAGTCTATGGGCAGTGTTAGTCTATGGGCAGTGTTGAGTCTATGGGCGTGTTGAGTCTATGGGTAGTGTTGAGTCTATGGGCAGTTTGAGTCTATGGGCGTGTTGAGTCTATGGGCGGTGTTGAGTCTATGGGCGGGTTGAGTCTATGGGCAGTGTTGAGTCTATGGGCAGTGTTGAGTCTATGGGCGGTGTTGAGTCTATGGGCGGTGTTGAGTCTATGGGCAGTGTTGAGTCTATGGGCAGTGTTGAGTCTATGGGCGGTGTTGAGTCATTGGCGGTGTTGAGTCTATGGCAGTGTTGAGTCTATGGGCAGTGCTGAGTCTATGGGCAGTGTTGAGTCTATGGGCAGTGTTGAGTCTATGGGCAGTGTTGAGTCTATGGGCAGTGCTGAGTCTATGGGCAGTGTTGAGTCTATGGGCAGTGTGAGTCTATGGGCAGTGTTGAGTCTATGGGCAGTGCTGAGTCTATGGGCAGTGTTGAGTCTATGGCAGTGTTGAGTCTATGGGCGGTGTGAGTCTATGGGCAGTGTGAGTCTATGGGCAGTGTTGAGTCTATGGTGCAGTGTTGAGTCTATGGGCAGTGTTGAGTATGGGGTGGTGTTGAGTCTATGGGCGGTGCTGAGTCTATGGGCAGGTTGAGTCTATGGGGTGTTGAGTCTATGGGGGGTGCTGAGTCTATGGGCAGTGTTGAGTCTATGGGCAGTGTTGAGTCTATGGGCAGTGTTGAGTCTATGGGTAGTGTTGAGTCTGATGTTGAGTATGGGCAGTGTTGAGTCTATGGGCAGTGTTGAGTCTATGGGCAGTGTTGAGTCTATGGGCGGTGTTGAGTCTATGGGCAGTGTTGAGTCTATGGACGGTGTTGAGTCTATGGCGGGTGCTGAGTCTATGGGCATTGTTGAGTCTACGGCAGTGTTGAGTCTGGGGCAGTGTGAGTCTAGGGCAGTGCTGAGTCTAGGGGGGTGTTGAGTATGGGCGGTGTTGAGTCTGGGCGGTGTTGAGTCTATGGGCAGTGATGAGTCTATGGGCGGTGTTGAGTCTATGGGCAGTGTTGATCTATGGGTAGTGTTGAGTCTATGGACAGTGTGAGTCTATGGGCGGTGTTGAGTCTATGGGCAGTGTTGAGTCTATGGGCGGTGTTGAGTCTATGGGCAGTGTTGAGTCTATGGCAGTGTTGAGTCTATGGGCGTGTTGAGTCTATGGGCGTGTTGAGTCTATGGGTGTTGAGTCTATGGGTAGTGTGAGTCTATGGGCGGGGTCTGAGTCTATGGCAGTGTTGAGTCTATGG